GAAGTACCAACAAAATAATTTTATGGTTGGGGAGTCACAACGTGAGGAACTGTATTAAAGGGTCCCAAGTATTGGGAAGGTTGAGAACAAGTGCTTTGGTCTGGCACTGGTGCTCTATCTGGGCTGAATAGACTCCTCTGTTTATGCTTCCTCAGCAAAAGTCTCACAGAGTGAATAAACACCCGCAAACACAACCTGTGAAAAAGAAACAAAACAGTGAAACCTGATTAAAACAGACTGGAGTCAGTCCTGCAGACTCCAACATCGGTCCTGAGTTCTCTCCCCAGCCTCAGTTAATCCCTAGGGAGCACCCCTCCCTTTAATGATTTATTTTTATTTTATGTGTGTTGGTGTTTTGCCAGCATGTATGTCTGTGAGAGGGTGTCGAATTTCCTGGAACTGAAGCTACAGACAAGTGGTGAGCTGCCCCTGAACCCAGGTCCTCTGGAAGAGTGGCCAGTGCTCTTACCCTCCAAGTGGCTTCTTTTTTTGAAGACAGATTTCAGTGTCCAGATAGTGTGGGACAACCTTTCTTTTATACCATCATTGCTTCTTAGCTCTGGGCATGTCAAAAACAAAAACAGAGTCAAGCAGTGGTGGCACATGCCTTTAATACAGCACTCTGGAGGTAGAGGCAGGAGGATCTCTGTGAGTTTGAGGCCAGCCTGGTCTGCATAGTGAATTCCAGGACAGTCAGAGCTGTTACAGAGAAATCGTGCCTTGGAAAACCAAAACAACAACGAAACAAAAACAGTGCAGTGCATAACAGTATCTTTCCTTTCTTTTGAGGTGGTATGGTGTGTTGGAGTGGCTACTAGGGATTATACCTGGGGGCTTGTGATGCCAAGTAACTGCTGTGCCACTGAGATATACTTCCAGCAAACCCCACCTAAGACCTTTCTGTCATCTTGAATGACAATGGTCTTTTCACCTCACTGACCAGAATCACACAGGTGAAAGTCTAACTTTCTGCACACTGTCCCTACCCACAACCCATGGCCCACCTCCATGGGATCCTGTCCCTATCCCCTCTGAAGAGACACTGGCCCACTCAAGCATGTGTCACTGACAGGCCTTGCCCATCTCCCCGATTCCCTCTGCCTTGCTAAAAACCGTTAGGTTACATTCCTAAAACTACCTAGCAAGATCCATTCCCTTATTTGGATTCTTCCTTCTCCTGGGGTTGACTACCAAGGTCCAGTTATCAAAGTGTTGAAGTCCAGAAATCAGAAACTCCCTTTGGCTCACCTAATTACCACGCCCAATTAAAACAAAACACCTCATCCTAACAGGGGTTTTCCCCTTATACCTTTATAAACTGCCATTTTCCTGTGTGCCCCCCCCCCGTCCCTCTCTATCCAGAGGCAGTCCTTTCTCCCTCCGTTCTGAAGGGTGAAATGGATCTTGGGCAGCACTGTTTAGAATCAAGGTGTGGCAGGGCTCACACTCCCTGGAGTCTCCAGGGGAGACAGGGGAGAGCCACTTTCTTAGACTTTTCCAGCATGCAGAGATGTGTTCTTTGGCTCATAGTCCTCTTGTCCATCTTCAAAGCCAGCAACAGCATCCTCTTGCCTTGTCTCAAAAGACTAGACGGTTACTTCAGGCTTCCTCAGATAATGATTCAAGATGGTCACCTCATTTTAGCATTCTTCATTTTGTCTGAAAAAACAAAACAAAACAAGCAAACACAACCCTTTGCAGTCTTAAGGCAGCCTTTGCAGGCACTGGGGATTATGAACTGGTACCCTGATGTGCTGTTATTTAGCCTGTTTGTAGCTCATTCTTGCTTGCTCTATGACCAAGACACTTTGTACATGTTTGGTAAATTGCATCATAACAGTGGAAACTTCCATCCAGCAGACAGCACAACACCTGAGAACTTTGGAGCCACAGAATGGTGAAATCTCCAGCTTAGCAGAGGCTAACCCAAAGTCCCTCCAAGCATGAGAGACTGGGCTAGCTAGCCAAGCACCTGCTTCCCCCCACTCCTGTGGTCTCTCTGACTCTCTGTCCCCGTGTTGGCAATTCCTTCTCAACCTCTTCTAAACATCACACTGTTTATTCTTATTTTATGTTTTAGAGAGAAAACTTGCAGGGTTTATTGTTACCAAACATTTTTTTATTTCTATTTGCCAACAAATGGGGGGGCTGATTGTTTTTGTTAAGGTTTAACTTCAGAATCAGGAAGACCTGGATACCAACTTGGTAGCTGTAAACAGTAATTTGCCCCTCTACGAGGGGCCTCGGCTGATGGCTGTGCTCATCTGTGAAGTGGGGATGCTAGCGGAACCTGTCATGATGCGGTTGTGATAAACGCAAAGATAAAGCAGATGGCGCTTTTCCAAGCTCGGTCCAGAACCACAGTGTTAACGTCATCTGGGAATCCGCCCCACCCCGACGCCCTGACTCAGAGGCCGGGCATGCGACTCTGCGATCCCTGTTACAACACACCTTCCAGAGAACTCTGGCCCTGTGCTGCGCACAGAGCCTGGTACACAATAAAAGGAGACGGGCGATTCGCCCTGTCACCACTGGTGTTTGCTGCCATCATTTTAGCACCTACCCTTTCCGTGAAGTTGAGTGAGTTAATGCGCCTGCCCCTTCCTCGCCCGTATCTTGCAAATACACTAATGTTTAGATTGCTAACAGAACCAGTTGCCCACACAGCTTCCCTTTACTGAGCCACTTGCCCAGCCTCTCCTGGCATAGTCCTAGCAACAAGGACCTCATCATTTATCTGGGTAGGTTAAACTCCAGCTAAAGCTCTGGCCATCCCTGCATCTCAACTGCACAGCCCTCCCTGGGGTCTCTTGTCCAAGCCTCTGAGCTGTGCTGAGTCCTGCTGAGTCCTCAGGCAGCTGCTTTCCTGCAGGCTGAACCTCAAGTGAATTCTGGCCGGTCCCAGCTGCAGGGAGGTGGCTCTGAGGAAGGACAGCTCTGTTTGCCTGGTGCTTTGGCAGCGGTTCAGCCCTGACTCACTCTGGTCAACCAAAACCCGGGGCCTTTTCTCAGGAACTGCAGCTGCTCCTCTAGGGGATGGGGTCACCCTGTCCTTCCGTGACGTGTAAAACTTACTTCTTAAAAATAACCCCACTTTCCAATTATGAAACTGATCTGTGAGGTGTGCCAAGGCATACCTGGAACCCCAGCATTCAGGAGAGGGAGGCAGGAGGGTCTTGGGTTTGAGATCAGCCTGGTCCTTATCTCAGAAATACTAAAACCAAAAGCAACAACAACAACAAAATTCTGCTTACTACAGTAAGCTAGGAAAACACAAAAGAAAATCTAACTAGCAATGGACACTAAACTTTTTTTCTGATTTAAAAGGAAAAACTCAAACAAAATTGACCTTTGAAAATTTTCTTTTCTTTTTCTCTCCTTTTTTTGTGGGAGAAAATACAAGTAATACAAGAATACTTTCAAATTCTAATGTCTATGGATGAAATTCAAATGTACATCGGTATAGCAATGGAAACTCACCCCTCCCTTCCTGTTTCTGCAGATGTGGCTTTAATTCTGGCTTCTCTACTTACTGGTTACATCACAATCCATTTAGTGTCTTAGAGCCTCAGTTTTGTCATCTGTGTAATGGGTGTGATAATCGCCATTTCCCAGGACTGTGGTAAAGATGGAAATAAAGCTTGTGGCTTAATTCCAGTAAGGGTCTGTAGAGAGCTCAGCGTGGGACTGATTCTCTTAAGAACTTGTCACCTAGCCAGCTGCTGCTCTGGTCCTGTTCTGGATCTTGTTACCCTGGTTCTTTTCACTCCGTCTTGTAGCTGCTCAATAGCATTGGTCCCTAATTGCTCTATGCCTGGCTACTTTAAGCTCCCCGGGGGCCGGGGCCACATCCCACCTTGTTCATTTCTATGCTCCCAGGGCCTGGCAAGGGGTGTGTGACCTGAGTGTGTGGCCTGAGCACTGGGCAAGGAGTTGTTGGAGAAAGGAGTAAAGCTTGGGAGCCTGAGTGTGTGAATGGCTGGCTGGGTCAGCGCCAGCAGACGTCGCTTACTAGATCCACTACGAGGAGACAGGGTCTCACCTCCCATCCAGGCCTTGTCAAGTGCACAGACCAGGCTCTCTGATACCTGGGATGGGTAGGCCTAGCTCGTCCTGGTCAGGGTGTCTGGAGACTTGGCCTCCCTAAGCCTGGGCAGAAGAGTACATGGGGGGCCAGGTGGGGCAAGATGGGGCTGGAAGAGTGGAAACAGCTGGAGTTTCAGGGGAGCTCCCTCACCACCTGCCCCACCCCCTCATCACCCCCCTCCCCCGGCTTGACAGCTGACTGAGTCGGTTTTGGACTGCCATTTTGGAAGGCAGTTCTCACCGTCTGTAGCCCTCTTGTGACCCTGGTAGGGCCCTAGTTCAGCAAGCCTAAAAACTGAGGCCTTGGGGATGGGAGGCTGAAGCTTGGGTGGGTCCAAGCCTGACTGGCGCTTTCTGCCAGCCCTGACCCAGACGTTTGGCTTGCTGGCTTTCTGTGTGGTCTTTTCTGTTTCTGGACCTGGAAACACTCAGGGGTGGAGGCGGCGTCTCTTCCTCCTTTTGACTGCTTAGATAGCATCTTTGCTTTCTCCCAGGCAACCTCCAAAAAATCTCCAAAAGCAAAAGCAAAACAAACAACTCAACACTCAGGACTATTTTAAGCTCGCCGAGTAGGCTCTTCAGAGAAACCAGGACCTTAGCGAGGAAAACAGGGTTCCCCTAGGTTGGGTTCCATCTGTCTTCAGCTTCCTTATCTATAAAATGGCCAGGGATGACAACTGCCCCCACCCCTCTGGGGACTAAGGTCTCTGCTTAGGAGCTGCATTGCAGGATGGGAGCAAGGAGTTTCTCACCCTAGCAGAGGCGAGCACCCTGAGACCCAGCCCTTCCCTTCACCCTCCATCCTGCAGCTTGTAGCCAGATGGGAGGACCTTCTGTGACATCCTGAGCCTGGCTTGGCCACTGCTAACAAGCCAGTGCCAGGGGACTCTCTTGGGCTGAAAGCCTGGCTGGTGTCAGGGCCTGCAGGAGGGAGTTTTCAAGAAAGGGAAGTGGTTGTGGCCAGACAGAATGATGGAGCAACTCTGCTAGGACCTGCGTGGAAAACCCCTAACTCCCGCTGTGTTCTCATAGCGGGCTGTGCAGGCAGACACTGTAGCCACCCCACCCCCACCTCCACGAGAAAGTACCTGGTGTTCACCCTGGGTTTCGCTTGGGACTGTGTGAGAGCAATGACACATGTGCTCTGGTGAAGCCTCACACCGGCCGAGTTGCCATCTTTGGCCACAGAACCTGCCCCTCCCGGAGCAGCTTTGCATTCAGAGAGTGGTGCCGTCATCCGGCAAGCCTCTGCTCTACTGCTCTGAGGTATGATGGGGGTGGGGAGAAGGACCTTTTGCAGTTAGCTCCTGGTTTTCTGGGTGTCGTTGGAAGTCCTTCCCCTTTCTGGAGAGTAACAGGTGCTCAAGTGGGCATAGTCTTGAGCCCAAGATACTGTGGCTAAGGCAAGCTATTTTGTAAATGCTGGGCGGTTGGACAATCCTGTCTAGAGATGAAGCAGCCCTGAGGACAAGGGGGAGGCTCAGCGGCTGCTCACTGAGGCTTAGAGGACCTTCTGTGTCTACTTCCTCGTCAGCTGAGTAGGGCCGCTCCCATTTGGGCCCCTTTTCTCCTCTCTGTGAAAGTGTGAGCTTCAAGGGCCTCAGGCCTCTGACCTGCTTTTGAGACATGACCATGGCAAGCCACTCATCTCTCTGGTCTAAGTGTCTCTGTTTGTCCAATAGGTGCCTCACCCCTTCCTACTCTTGGGGGTCAGTAAATTTAAATAGGTGATAAGCATAAAAGTATTTTGAACAGAAAAGTAGACACAGGCAGACTCGAGGACCCAGGCCTGAGATCCCAGCACTCGGGAGGCTGAAGCAGGAGGATGTCAGGGTAGAGTCTAACCTGGACTACCAACATAAACCCTGTAAAAATAAAAAAGTGGGGGGAGACATAAAGCGGACACCAATGCGTGGGTTAACTCCATGTCTCCCCACACACCAAGAAACCAGGGATATAAGGCTCTTTCTTTTTTTTTTTTTTTGGTTTTTCGAGACAGGGTTTCTCTGTAGCTTTGGAGGCTGTCCTGGAACTCACTTTGTAGACCAGGCTGGCCTCGAACACACAGAGATCCGCCTGCCTCTGCCTCCCGAGTGCTGGGATTAAAGGCGTGCGCCACCAACGCCTGGCCTAAGGGATATATGGCTCTTAAGACGCTACTGGAGGAAGCCATTAGAGTCCTCTCCCATAGGACCTGTGATGACACCTTCAGTGGTTCTCTGTTGTCCCCCAGGATCAAAACCAACTCCAGCTCCACTTCTGTTCAGTTCTTCCAGCCAAGATGACCAAGAACCTTCCTCAAACACACTCCAGACCTTCATCCATGAGTCCAGGTCCCCACTGCGTTTGTTCCTGATGTGTGTGCTCGTCTTCCACTCTTCTCCAAACTAGAGGCCACTTCCTCATACCGAGGAACCAGAGTGTAACTTGGAGTGTCCTCAGCAACTTCTCTCTCTACCCACATGTCCACAAGCCCCAAGTCATGGAGATACTGATTTCTGAGAAGTCCTTGTGTCCCTCTCATGTACCTCAGGCTGTGAGGAACACCTTGGAACATTATTGACTGGTCACACACCTCTGTGCTCAGCCCTGTGCTGACACTGGAGGCACACAGTGGGCATCTTCGTCCTTAGATGCCTCAGGTTGGTGGGGAAGGGGTGAGATAACCGCAGATCTGAACCTGTGCACTGGTTATTTGTTTATTTTTGGTCAACTTGACACAAATTAGAGTCATCTGAAAAGAGGAACCGTGATAGAGAAAATGCCTCCATCAGACTGGCCTGTAGGCAAGTCTGTGGACCAATTTTCTTGATTAACGATCGGAGTGGGAGGGCCAGCAGGGGCAGTGCCACCCCTGGGCAGGTGTTGTATTAAAAAAGCCAGCTGAGTGATCCATGGGGAGCAAGCCAGTAAGAGCATTCCTCCATGGCCTCTGCTTCAGCTCCCGTCTTGGGCTATTTATCCTTAGGGATGGGCTGTAACCTGTAAGCTAAGCGAACCCTTTCTTTCCCCAAGTTTATCACAGCAACAGAAAGCAAGCCAGAACAAAGACTTCGACCAAGATCACGTGGTGCTGTCATGACAGACATGATGACATTTTAGGGACAATTGTGGTGGTATTTGGAATCTTGAGCTGGAAAAGTCAGGAGTGCTTGGAGCTTACTGGGCTGTTCAATGGGAGCTTGGAAGACATGGAGCTGAGAGCAACGCAGATGGAGGTCTGGCTTGTGAAGTCTCAGGGTCCCTTAAACACTCTCACCATCTATTCATGTGATGTTGTGGATTAAGAATCTGTGGTTTCTGGTCAGCTGGGGCTGAAAAAAAAAGCATGATTAACAAGAGACCAGTTCTACTGAAAGAAACCTTTGCTTTACTGGGGCAATGGATGCTGGTTAGCTGGGGCTGAAGAAACAGCTGTGATTACCAAAAGACCAGCATCATTGAGGCAAAAATCTAGAAAGTATTTCCTTAGGCTCAGCATTCAAAAGGGTGTGGTCCAGAGGGGCCCAAGGCTGTGTGTGTCTCATGCTGATAGCTGAACTTGATTTTGTCAGCATGGAAGCTGTGGGGTGGAAGGGGTCTTGAAGAGTAGCTGAGACTTGACACTGTGAGGGTCTAGGGGGGGCCACTGGTGTGGGCTCAGCTTCTGTTGCAGTGGAGGCCACAGACCATGCAGGGACCCACTAAGGACAGCAGCAGGTGTGAGGTAGAATTAGTGAGCCCATTAATCTTCTGAGCACTGGGGGCCTTTCCAGCTCAAGATGCCAAACGCTGCCACAATCCTCCTGAGAGATCAGCTGTGTGTTGTGGGTAGCAGAGGTGGAGAATTGGGTTAGCAAGCCATTTTGGAGCCCAGAAGATTATGAGTGAGTCCAAGACAGCAGACACTGAACTTTTCATAGTGTTGAATTTTGGTTTTGCTCTGCTAGGATTGTAACTGTGCCCTGGTTCTTACCTTTGGAACTAAGCAAGCATGTAACTTCTTTTGGATTTTACAGGAGCTTTGCTTCAATTGGTTCCTACCCTGGCTTCCTTTGATGATGGGCTATAACCTATAAGACAAACTCCTTCTTCCCGATGCTTTTGGTCCCTATCCCATCATAGCAACAGAAATCAAACTAGGCCAACTTGCCTTTTCACTCCATATATATGTTAAAGAGTAGGTCTTTCAGAGTAAGGACTATTAACCAGTGAGTGGCTGTGGGGAGGCCCTTTACCCCTCTAGACTTGTTTGCTTCCTGTGTCATGGTGGAACTGAAAAGCAGACAGATAGAGGTTTTGCAGTTCCAACAATCTTAAAACTCATGGCTTTCCATGTTGGGAATCAGTGGAAGGAAGACAGAGGCAAGGAGGATTCCTGACTGATGAGGGAGCCCCACTCCTGCCAATGGCCACTTGGGCAAGGTGCGTGGGGGGTGTCTCCTTGTTCTCACCTCTCCTCCCATGAGGGTGCAAAGTCTTTTGTGGACTCTTGCCTGAGCCCTGCTGAGTTATCTGACTGGCCTGTGGGCTGGTGACTGGCTGCTTCTTTCTAGCTGGCTCAGGCCTGGAGTCCAGGGGTGGGAAGGGGAGACTTGGATCCCTGCCCCATGCGGCAGCAGAGGGCTCTCAGGCAGGCAGGGTGACGTGGGCTTAACTCTCAGCTCTGCTACTTTGTTTCAGCCACTTGACACTGTCGTGTGTCAACCACTAGGTGCCCAGATAACTGCAGACTCCAATGGCCACTTAACCATTGGCTTTCCTGGGTCTCTTCAGCTTCCCCATTTACCTTGCTGGTCTTAGGTCCTGCTATCCTCCACGGCATGTGATTACAGATAGATGCTATTGGCTCTGTCCCCCTGACATCTATGGAGATTTGGGACAATGCTTGCCCATCCGAGCCTCTGTTTGCTTTGTTTTGGGTGGTGCTGCAGATTGAATTTAGGGCTACACCTTCAGCCTCTGAGCCTCTACTTTGAATTTGTTTAAGATGGAAATGATTACTAATATAAGTGCCACCTTTCTGCTTTAAGATTCCTATTACTTAGTAAATTCCAAATCATACAAAATATTGTTATATTCTAGTTTATTGTGTGTAGGTTTGTCTGCAGGCATCTTAACCTGCTGAGTCATCTTGCCTGCCCCAAATCATTTTTGCAAGTATTTCGTGGTCTTCTCTGCCCTGCTGGTCAGTTTTGCCAAGAGTCACTGCCCCATCACACTACTCCCTCTGTATAAACTGTCCCTGGGCCATAGAGATGACTTCGTGAGTCAAGGCCCCTGCCGTCAAACTTGAGCTGAGCTCAGCCTCTAAGACACACACGGAAGGTGAGAACCAATTCCTACGAGCTGTCCTCTGCCTCCACACATACCCTGTGCCACATACATGCCCCTTCTCCACAAAATAAAATGTAACACCCCCTCCCCTTTTTTAAAGCTGAATGTGGCTGGGCATGGTGGTAGATGCATTTAATCCCAGTACTCAGGAGACAGAGGCAGGGGGATTTCTGTAAGTTTGAGACCAGCCTGATCTACATAGTAAGTTCCAGGCCAGCCAGGGATACATAGTGAGACTCTGTTTCAAAAACCAACAAACATTTAAAAGCAGGATATACTGGTATACACTTGTTTTGCGGGATTTTTTTTGTTGTTTTGTTTGTTTGTTTGTTTTCAAAACAGGATTTCTCTAAAATAACAATCTTGGCTGTTCTGGAACACTTGTAGACCAGGCTGGCCTCAAACTCACAGAGATCTGCCTGTCTCTGCCTCCTGAGTGTTGGGATGAAAAGCATGCAGTTTCTTTTGTTTTTTAGTTTTCTCTCTTGAAATGCACCTGTTCCCTTCCTGGCTGGTCGGTGAGCTCTCTGCATCCCTCAGGGCCAGTCTCCATTGTGTGTTCCTCTTAGGATTTTCCCTAACTCCTCAAGAGCTGTCTGGCCCTCAGATGCCTGATGTACCTATTGGTTGTTCCATTATTTATTCCACATTGAGCTTGTGGGACTGTGTGCTTACTTCCCCCAAACCTGCAAGCCCTTCAAAGTCCTGGCTCCAAATCACCCATGCTTGTACAACTCTCTCCTTCCTTGTGCTGGTGGGTAAACATTTTTTTTTCAGGTTAAGAAGCATTTAGGAGCTGGAGAGATGGCTCAGCATTTAGGAGTGTGCACTGGTTTTCCAGTTCCCAGCACCACATCAGGAGGCTCACAAATACCCGCAGTTCTAGATCCAGGGTGGTCAAAGGCCCAAGATTCTGAATTTGCCGGTCGGTGGTGGCGCATGCCTTTAATCCCAGCACTTGGGAGGCAGAGGCAGGCGGATCTCTGTGACCGACAGCCTCCAAAACAATACAGAGAAACCCTGTCACGTAAAACCAAAAAAAAAAAAAAGATTCTGAATTCAAGTGCACATATGCTCAGACATACACACAATTAAAAATAAGAGCTGGGAAATAGTGGCGCACGCCTTTAATCCCAGCACTCGGGAGGCAGAGGCAGGTGGATTTCTGAGTTCAGGGTCAGACTGGTCTGCAGATCGAGTTCCAGGGCAGCTAGAGCTACACAGAGGATCCTGTCTTGAAAAAAAAAATCTTTAAAAAAAAAAAGCAATTTCAGGACTGGAAAGATGGCTCAGTGGTTAAGAGCACCAACTGTTCTTCCAGAGGACCCCGGTTTGATTCCCAGCATCTACATGATGGTCACAACCACATGTAACTCCAGTTCCAAGAGAATCTCACTCTCTCTTCTGGCTCCTGATGGTACTGCACATTCTGCACTGAAACACATGTAAAACACAGAAATCTCAAAAAAATTTTTTTTGTTTTTCAAGATAGGGTTTCTCTGCATACCCCTGGCTGTTCTGGAACTCATTCTGGTCTCAAACGCACAGAGATCCACCTGCTTCTGCCTCCCGAGGGCTGGAATCAAGACCATGTGCCACTACTGCCTGGCTCAAACAACTTCTTTGTTTGTTTGTTTTTAGAGACATGGTTTCTCTGTTTAACTTTAGAGCCTGTTCTGGAACTCACTGTGTAGACCAGGTTGGTCTTGAACTCACAGAAATCTGTCTGCCTTTACCTCCCAAGTGCTGGGACTAAAGGTGTGCGCCACCACCGCCTGGCTTTTAAAAAAATGTTTTTTTTTTTTTTTAAAGAAGTACTTTGAGATCTACAGTTTCAAATTCAGCCACTTTAAGGAGGCAGAGGCAGGAGAAAAGGGCCCAGTTCACTCCACATCCCTGGACACGTCCCTTTCAGAAAGCCACACTCGGGTAACATATTCCGCTGGTTCAGCAGGGGTTGGCAGAGGTTGGGACCCCTGGCTTGACAAAGAGCACAAGGGCAGGCAGAAGGTGCAGAAAAGGCTCAGGTCTGGGGCAGGCCCAAGGGGACAGATGGGTTCCAGATGTGTCCCCCTCAGTGTGGCCTTGGGCAGTTCTCATTCCAGTCGCTGTTGCTTCGTAAAGGTAGTCCCCGGTCAGTGTGGGACACAAGAGATAACTGAGGGATGAACCATCTGAGAGTGAGAGGGTCTGAGGACACTATGTGGACACAGCAAAAGTCCCCAGAGACACTCAAGGGCTTTAACTTGACGGTCCTGCTGAGAGGTAGTGCTAGTGCTGGAACTCCCTCCCTTGGGTCTCAAGTATCCATAAGCCTCCTGCCGGACCCTTGGTCAGGGCTTCTTCCCAAATGTCTCCTCCCTAAACGGGACTGAAACCCTGAGGGCAAAACGCAGCACCTCCCACTTGAGGGCATGGGAGTCCAGGGGCAAGCACTTGAAGTCGCCCATCACTTTGGAGCTCTGAGGATGGCCCCCACCTTCCCCCAGGGTGACCAAAGGAGAGGCAGGTCCTATGTAGTGTGGGGCTCACACCGCTGGCTCTACTTTAGTCACGACAAGAAGAACCACGGTCTGAGAACACAGCTGCAGGGCGTGTCTGGGCACTCTCAAGCTCAGGACAGGATGGCCCCCAAGTCAAACTTAGTTCCGGAGTTTTCATAGCTCCCTGGGAAGGCTGTTTTCTAGGAAAGCTCTCTGGGTATGTGTCATGGCCCAAGCAAGACTGGGAAGAGAATTCTCTTCCATGACCTCAGCAGGCTGGAGACATGGGTTCTTGTCTGGCTCGGTCCTGACTCTGCGTACATGACACATCATTCATATTTTCCAGGTTTCAGTAGACCTGGAAATAGGGAGTGGGCTCCACTTTTCTGGGGTGCAAGATAAGGGGAAAATTACTTGAATTTTGAACTTGAATGATGGGAGAATCCCAATGGTAGGGCCCTGGGAGGTAACAGGCCTGAGGTAGAGGCAGGAAAGGCCCGAGTGTTGGCCCCAGATCCCCCTTGCAGGCCAGGTGACCTCAGAGAATTTAACTTGCACTTGGTAGCACCCCAGGCCCTGCTGCTTTGATAAGCCACACCCCCAAACTGCATCATCATTCAGGGGCACCTTCTATGTCTGGCAAGGGAGGTCCATCACCACTCTAAAGTTCTCTGGCTACCTCTACTTGTCTACGATCAAAAAAAATGTAAACATTACTGGATTGGTCACATGTTAGCCTCTGTCTCCCAGCCAGACTCAGGCTCCCAGCGGCACCCATGACTCAGAGTCCAACACACACTTACTGCTTCTCCTCTTCCCGATGGGCTCTTTGCATCCTGGCTGCTTCCTTCTTAAGTGCCCAGGAAACCCAGAAGATGGTAAGTGAGGGTTAGGATGAATAGGCTGCTCTGTGAAGAGCATCATAAGTGATTATGGGTGCCATGTCCTGAATAAGAAGGTAGAGCTCGGCCTCTGGCCTCCCAGGAAGGGAAGGAGATGTATGTGCGCCCAGCCGAGACTCCAGAGTCCTCCTCCCTGGTCTTTCCAGCCCTGGAGGTCTCAGTGATGACTCAGCTCACGCCCTGCTGCCGTCTCCCTGCCCGAGCCTTGCTTCCTTGGACTACCATATCTAGCTTTCTTGCTATCTGATGCTTGGTGCCCACCCTTTCTTTCCTCTAGACTTGGTCTTTCCTGTCCTCGGGCCTTTGCAAAGGCTGTTCCACCAGCAAGAATGCACACACATCCCTTCTGTACCAGAGAACGCAACATACAGTTGGCTCCATGTTCTTCAGCTTGGTGTCCTCCAGGCAGTTGCAGGGAGCCAGTTGCTCCCTCCCTGAGACCTGCAGTCTGGAGCATCCAATGTGTGGTACCAAACTTAACCATCCTGGGCTAATTGTCCTCTCACCTACGATGGGAGCTACCTGAAGGCAGATATCAACTCAGCCTCTCCAACGCCCAGCTACACCTGGCACCAGAAGATTCTAAACAGACTGGAGTCTGGGTTTCTAGGAGGGACAATTATTCTTTGGAGCCTTCCGTGGCCAACTGATGATGGTGATACTCACTTAGTGTCCAGGAGACTAGCGCCCACAGATTACCCCGGACCACACAGCATCTCAGTTACCAAACTAAGCTTGGAACCTGAGGGTCCTGATGCTTGATCCATGGCTTTGGCTGTGACAGCAGTGAACAGCATCCAGGCATTAAAGACGGGTGCCTGGAAGCCCCAGGGGCCCAGGCCCTGCAGCTGCTCACTCCATGCTGGCTCAGTCCCTCTGGCTGGGCGCTCAGCCAACAGCAGCATGAGGCTCTGCCTGATCCTGCCAAAGGTCGTGCTGTCAGCATTCTGAGAAGCAGCCAGGCCACTTCCCCATGGGGGCAGCTCAGACGTAGGACCTGGGACAGCATCTCTGGACTAAGGGCTCTGGACTCCCAAGCAGAGTTCTTCCGAATAACTGGATTAGAACCTGACTAAGCTCAGGCAACAGTCTCAAGTGCACATGAGAGAGCCCTGGATGGAACGTGTGATGATGACAGCTCACACAGCACAGTAGGGACAGGAGAGGCTGCGTGGGGGCAAAAAGGTGAGTGCCATCACTCACCAGCTCTGCGAGTTACTTTCATATGCCTCCACTGTCAGTAAGATGGGAGGAGGGGAATCATTTAACACACATTCTTCACCACCTCTACGCTCTAAGGCACTCACTTCTCTGGTGCCCACATAACCACACACCTCACTCACCACA